CGGGCATGCAGAAAATCTTATGTAGCATTGCATTTTCAGTTTGGTGAGGAAACTAGATAACTTCTGTAAAAGAATCAGAGGGCAGAGTCATGCCACGTACAGCTGCAAGACTATACTTGTCGCGTAGGAATCTGCATAATGCTAACATCAGGGCAGTTTTCCTGAACAAGGAAAAATGTTCATAGAAGTGTTAGGAACCATATAACTGTAAATGTAGCTGGTCAATGTATAGACAACGAAGTTTGTTGGTTTCAGCAGTAGAATGTTATTCAGGCTACAACATGAACGTGTGCTTACATGCAATTCTCCAAATTAATCACATCAACTAACCACTGTAAGTTGATCTCCACCAAGGCCTATTGGGCCCTTGGATCTACGCCCTGATCGGGGGCGTCCAACCCTAATATGGTTGGTGGGTCCCTGTCGCACATCACTATAAAGATAGTTGGGGATCACGGCTCTAACTACGAGGTTGACCGTGAGCCGCCGTAACCACCGACAGAGAAACACTAATCCGATCTAAAGAAGGGTGCTGCCAGCGACGGGAAGTCCCACCGACTCCGCTGTCACCTCTGCAGTGTCACCACCGGGACACTGTACCTCGCGTCGCCACAGGGACTGCGACTGTACTTCATCTCCGGTCACTACGGGCGCACTAGTTACCAAGGTACGCCCACAAATGTTTGCTGTACCCGCTAGATCTACACCTAGAATTTAGAACTTCCTAACAATGGTACCAGAGCCAAGGTTGCCAGTGTGTAGATCTAGTATGGGGTAGAGCATTGAAAATAGAAAATAAAGAACAAGGGTTCGATCCGTTTCGGATTGAAACCCTAACCCTAACCGGGTAAAAGAAAATAGAAAAGAGAACAGGAGGGTAGCGGGTGTCACTGACTGCCGGTCACCACCGCCACTGCGCGGGGAAAGGTGCCGCACCGCTGTCTTTGCCGGCGTGCGGCAAGAAAAGAACAGACCTCCTTTTGGATATGAGCAGACAGAAGGGGTTCCCTAACCCTAACCCTAACTGGGTGAAGGAAAGAACAAAAGAAGAGGGATTCGGCCTAGAAGAGAATCAAAGCCGAACCCTAACCCACAAAGCACTCACTGGGGAAGAAGAACAGTGACTCCAGTGAGTCAAACCCTAACCCCAACCCCAAATCGGTTCAACTCCAAAAAGAAGAGAAAGAAGATCCAAAAGAGGAAAAGGGGAAGAGGGGAAGGGGCTTATCTCGCCGATCTCGAATCAAAACCAAGAGCAAAACCGAATCGGGTTCAACCGAACCCTAACCCTAACTCGCGACGAGGAAGGGGAAGAGAGCGATTCGGTACAAATAGAAAAGAAAAGAAATCAAATGAAAGAGATGAACCGAATCAAACGAATCGAATCGGGAAAAGAAACCCTAACCCTAACCCTAATCCCCAATCGCATGACTCAGATCCAGAAGGGGAAGAAGAAAGGGAAGGGCAGAGGCCTACCCTCGCCGCTGCCGACACCGCCGTCGCATAGGATGAACAGGCGCGTTGCCGCTTCGCCGGCGCGCGAAAAGACAGCGCCGCTGCCTCTCAGGCACGGCCTCCATCCACTTTGATGAATGATCACTTCGATTTCGATGAATTGTCTAGTTTAATATCTCTGTTAAAATTTGAACCAACGGGATAATTTTTCAGAGAATATTTGAGAAAAGTTTAATGCTTCTGAAACATAGATAATGAATTTTCATGTTTCCACTGCTAAAGAAATAGTTTATTCTCCAGTTATTTTGAACCAACGTGATATTTAATTGGAGAAAAAGAGATTTTGACATGATTATGATGTTATTTTCTTACCAACGTTCAGAACAATTGTAAATTTTAATGATTTTATGCATTAATTCTATTTCTGCCCAACGGTGATGTAGAATTAGTGTATAAGAGCAGTTGTAAATTTTAATGATTTTATGCATTAATTCTATTTCTGCCCAACGATGATGTAGAATTAGTGTATAAAAGTAGAGTGTAAATGGGTCTACAAAACAAAACTTGACTCTCAAGGGAATATAGAGAGATATAAAGCTCAACTTATGGCAAAAGTCTTTATGCAAAGAGAAGGGATTGATTACAATGAGATCTTTTCTCCAGTCTTATGTAAGGATTCCTTCAGAATCATAATGGCATGAGTGGCACATTACGATTTAAAATTACATCAGATGGATGTAAAGATAGCATTTCTCAATGGGGACTTGGAGGAAAATGTTTACATGGTACAACCGAAAGGTTTTGTCATGAAAGGAAAAGAACGAATGGGATGCCGCCTAAAGAAAATCCATTTATGGATTAAAATAAATTTTAAGACAGTGGTACTTGAAGTTTGATCAGACAATAAGAAATTTTGGGTTTAAAGAGAATGTTGAGGACAATTGTGTCTATGCAAAGTTTAAGAATGAGAAATTTATCTTCGTTGTCCTGTATGTGGATGATATCTTACTTGCTAGTAGTGATGTCAGTCTACTACTGGAGACAAATAAGTTTTTATCCTAAAAATTTGATATGAAAGATCTTGGTGAAGCTTCGTTTGTTCTAGTGATCGAGATTCACCGAGATAGAAATAAAGGGGTATTAGGACTGTCACAAAACGCATACATAGAAAAGATCTTAAAGAAATTCACAGCCTGATCGCTTGGCTGGGGCTGGTTGGGTTGGCCAGCCCCCTCACATGGCTACTATTCACGCGAACCAGCCAGCAGTACTTCTCTCTCACATAAACGAACCAGCAATGATACAAATCAGCCAACCGAATAGGCTGTCAGTATGCACAAATATAGTCCCTCACCTGCTCCTATAGTCAAGGGCGACAGATATGGGGATTTAAAATGCCTCAGGAACCAGTATGAGATCGATCAAATTGAAAATGGTTCCATATGCTTCAGTTGTCGGAAGCTTGCAATATGCTCAAGTATGTACGCGCCTTGATTTGGCATTTGTTACGGGTTACTTGGCAGATTCCAGAACAATTCTGGAACAAAACACTGGAAATTAGTGAAGAAAGTCTTGCGTTATTTGCAAGGAACGAATGGCCTCATGTTGACGTATAGAAGATTTGATTCACTCCATATAGTGGGATATTCAGATTCTGATTATGCGGGAGATGATAGAAAATCCACGTCTGGATATGTATTCACTCTCGCAGGGGAGCTATTTCATAGAAAAGCTCAAAGCAAACCGTCATTACATCGTCCACAATGTATGCCGAGTTTGTAGCGTGTTATGAGGCAACGGGGCAGGTGAACTGGCTAAAGAAGTTCATACCCGGTTTGAAGGTGGTTGACGACATCTATAGACCACTTAAGTTATACTGTGATAATAATCCGGCAGTCAGTATGCTCACAACAATAAGTCAAGTGGTGTTGCCAAACACATTGACATAAAGTATTATGTTGTGAAAAATAAAGTCCGGGATCATGGCATAAGTCTTGAGCATATAAGTACTGAAAAGATGCTCGCGGATCCACTTACAAAAGGATTACCACCCAACGTGTTCAAAGAACATGTAGCTAGCATGGGTTTAAGGGAAAGCCTATAATTCCTAGACAAAAGAAGGCACAAAGTGAAGTATCTATTTCAGAACAGAGTGGTGTGTTGTAGCTGTTAAATCTATCGGTAATTGACCGTGACGATGAAACATGCTCTATGCGCTAATCTGCAATGGAATAAACAAAAGTAAATGATATGAAATTGAAAGATGGCAGTGAGATCAAGGGGGAGAATGTAAGTTGATCTCCACCAACGGTCTATTGGGCCCTTGGATCTGCGTCCTGATCGGGGGCGCCCAACCCTAATATGGTTGGTGGGCCCCTGTCGCACAGCACTATAAAGATAGGTGGGGATCACGGCTCTAACTACGAGGTTGACCGTGAGCCGTCGTAACCACCGACAGAGAAACACTAATCCGATCTAAAGAAGGGTGCTGCCAGCGACGGGAAGTCCCACCGACTCCGCCGTCGCCTCTACAGCGTCACCACCGGGACGCTGTTCCTCGCGTCGCCGCAGGGACTGCGACTGCACTTCATCTCCGGTCGCTACAGGCGCACTAGTTACCAAGGTACGCCCACAGATTATTTACTTTACCCGCTAGATCTACACCTAGAGTTTATAACTTCCTAACAACCACTCCAAATGTCAGGATGGAGCTTCAGGAACAAAGTCAATGAAAGGGTATGAACAGAGGCAAGCGCTTTATCGACAAAGATCCCAACGATGTCCAGCAGCTTCCATAAAAAACAAACCTAATCCCAGACTAATCTGAAATTTGCACCGGTGCTGCGGTGCAAGTAGGAATTAAGAAACAGCTTCAGCACGAATGCAGTGGAGACGCGTTTCTCACGTCGCAATTTCACAGCCTCCGCCAAATAACCGCGCCGGAATTATGAGATGTAGGCTACCAGCGATTGGAAGGAGTAGTAGAAAGCAGCCGAGCTCACCCGGTGCCGACGGGGCCGCCAATGCCGACGGTGAAGGCGCGGTCAGCGAAGTTGCGCGAGGTGAGCGGCGGCGCGCGCTTGGTGAAGTCGCCGGGCGAGTAGATGGGCTCGTGGGAGTGGGGCGCGAGGCCGTCGTGGGAGTGCCACACGCGGCCGTCCTCCCCTACCCACGATCCCCCCGCTGCATGGCCACCGCCGTCCCTGAAAGCGCAGCAAAACCACACCAAGCGTGCGTCGAGTCAGATGTGCAGACAGCGAGACCGAGATCGCGGAAGACTAAGAGTGATGGCACACGCGTGCGCACCCATGGGAATGGTGGTGGTCGTGGGAGTGGGAGTGGTGGTGATCGTGAGACGCCATGGATCGGAGCTTGGAGGTGGAATCGAGAGGGAGGCTGGAGACTTCGGATAAGGGAGGAGGCGGAGCGCAGATTCTGTGAGCTAGCAAGACTAGTCAGAAGATGCTCGTTGACTTCGGGATTCTTGTTAGCGGATTCAAGAGCGGAAGCGTTGAGACTGTTCAGGAGAAGTGGGCCAAATCCGAATGGGCTGGTCGCGGGCCTCCCAGCTACGGTTATTCCCGCCCATAGAGAAATGGGCCATTAGCAGGCTAGTAGACCGTTGGAGGCGCCGACGCACGCTGGGAGGCCGAGTGGAGAGGGAGCCGTCGCCGGCGGCGGCCTCTGCCTGGAGTCGCTGCCTCGCGGAGAGAGAGTCTGGGACTGGAGGCGTGATGGAGCCGAAGCGGGCGGCGGCGGCGGAAGACCGGCTCTCCTCCCTCCCGGCGGAGCTGCAGGAAGAGATCCTTGTCCGCCTTGACCTCCGGGACGCCGTGCGCACCTCCGTGCTCTCCCGCGCCTGGCGGGACCTCTGGAAGTCGCTCTCGGTGATCTCCCTCTCCTTCCCCCTCGGCACGCACCCCTCCGTTGTCGACAGCGTCCTCCGCCCCTACATCGGCCCCCGGGTCTCCCTCTTCAACATCTGCGTCGACGACGCGTCTGCCGGCCGCATCGACGACTGGCTCGTCGCGCTCTCCCGCTGCAGCGTCGAGTTCATCCACATGTCTGGCCAACTCAGTTCAGACTATTTCAATCTCCACTCCTCCATCTTCTCCTTCGGTGGTCCCATGTCCCTGCGGCTGGTATGCTGCAACATCCCAACCCTCCCCATAGGATTCGCCAGCTTCCCCGCGCTGCAGAAGCTAGACCTCAACTCTGTTGACTTCCCAGCCAATGGGGAGAACCAATTGGAAGCTATCATTCGTCGGTCACCCTTGCTTCATGCCCTGGATATATCTGATGTGTTCATCCCTGATGACTGCCCAGACTCAGTGATTGAGGCACCCTATCTCCGCAGCCTGACAATCTATTCAGCGTATGACCATGGCTGGCGAATTGGAGAGCTGCCATGCCTCGAAGATGCCGACATTAATGTGTCACTCTGTCCGCGGCATGAACATGACTATGGGGATTTCCTTGCTCGGTTTGCTCAAGTTCAAAAGCTCACCCTCTTCTTGCCGGTACGTTATTTTCGCTTTGTTCTCCTTATTATGTGCTTTGGCATAAATCAAGGCTAAAACGCTAGCGCTTGGGTCAAGCTCATTACATAGATCAGGAATTTAAACATGGTCCCCTATACTAATGAAATGACGTGAAAAACTACACTATTAATTAATAATAAAGGAAACCCTATACTAATGAAATGACGTGAAAAACTACACTATTAATTAATAATAAAGGAAACAATCGTTTTATTCGTGCCCTGCTTCCACGTGCCTGTGGTCCCTTGTTATACTAATGACACAAAAGTCTCACCCATATTTATAGACCCTGAATGACTTTATCCAATTTCAATGTCCTTTTTCTTTGTCACAGGTCGACGATTTTGAGATACCGTATACACTTCCATTCAGCTTTTATAACGTGAAGAACTTGGAAATTGGAATTATCTACGGACTTTACTGAAATGCACCCTGTATTGTTCATGTTTACCTTGCTAAGGAGTTGTCACAACCTTCAAAACCTAGAAATAGAGGTAATGCTGGATGTTGCCTTTGGGATATCTCTATTTACACCGTTCGAAGGTCAATTTGTTGATTACAACTGATTTTTTTTGGTGAAGTTGCGGGGCGGTATTGATCAGAGTTTTGAGGCAGATTGGGAATTCTTAAATGCTCTGTGGATGGATGGCATGTGTGCCAAACTTCAAGTTGTGCAGATGATTGATATTGCTTGGCTTCCAAATGAAATTTCATTTATGAAGCTTATGCTCTCTAAAGCAAGGCTTCTTCTCACATTGTATGTTGATGGACACCCAGATTATTTTGATGATTCACTAACTGACTTACTAAAATGTAAAAGAGCTTCAGCTCAAGCTCGTGTCCTGTTTGAAGGTAAAGAAACTTGATGTGCGGTCTCAAATTTACATATATTTATTATTTGAAGCGATGGATCTCTGTACCTCTTTTTTTTTATGTCAAAGTTAGTGGTATATTTCACATGATGTACTTTTGTCTATTGTACAAGTTAAGTCTGACCTGCAGAAGAAAGGTGAACATAAGATTTATGCTGACATATTGTGAAGTTTTCTGTGGCCTCCTCAAGATTTTAGAGCTTGACCCAATTGTCAGCCAAGAGGTAGACATTGTCTCCAATGCATGAGATCCTTTTTTCAGAAGTGTTCAGAACCTCCTTTTTCCTCTGCATTTCATATGAATCTTCTAGATTCTATTAGAATAGAACCAAATTTATTAGTATTTCAGCCAACGTTCTAAACCTTAAGATTCTTCCCCAGCCCTTTTACGTAACGGTAGCACCAAGCAACCTACATGCAAAACAATTAGGTTAAAGATATAAAAAAACAGCTAAGTGACATCTGCTAGCTGAAGTATTACAATTGGAACCATCATAGAACTACCATCCAGCTCAAAGATACAACGATGCTAGCTACTTTATTTTCTTTTACATGATTTTATTTAGTACTCCTTTTCCTTTCCACTTCGACATAATTCATTTTCATGGCAGAATTCAGACTTAATTCTAGTCAAAGCCTGTCCCGTTAATGGTCACTGATTTCTCTGTTTCATATTGGGTACGTTATTGAGTTTTCATATTAATTAAAGCTTGTTGGATCTTGGAGGAACAAAATATGGAAGCATATGGAAGAAGGGAACAGAGCATTTCTGTGTACACAATATGTCGTTTAGTCCATTTTAGTAGCTAAAATATTTCATTACAGGAATCCAATGGTAGTCTGATGTTTGCCTAGTCAGCACTACACAAATGTTTCCACTAACCTTTTAAGGGTTTCTTTTTTATGGAACCCTTTAAGAGTTTCTTCTTGATAAGACCTTTTGAAGAGTTTTTGGTAGAAAAGTATCATTATACATAAATGCAATAGTCTCTGTGTATTTTGTTTGATCTGCTTTTATGTCTGCTTTGCTGTAATTTTACAAACTGTTTTCCTTGTGCAGGTTTGGTGCAACAATATTAGATGAGGCGGCATCTTCTGTGTATTGCTGAGTGCAAGATTGGCTGCTTGAATGGGACAGGACCTGCTTTCTCCGCTGAAGCGTTTTTCTTTGAGGGAATTCCTTGTGAGCCATTATAAAAGATTGCAATTCCTTGTGAGCCACTGAAAAAGTTCGGCGGACTTCAGCGCCACTGCTCCAATTTTTTTTTTGCCCTCCATGCCACTGTCGTCAGATTGGACCCTAACGGTGTCAAACTGTAGGTGTGAAAAGTCAAAAATACCCTTAGGTGTAAATATGTCATTAATATTTTTTAGCATCTTATATCGACTTCAAATATTAAAAAAAGATAATTTTTATAGAAAATTGTAGATCTCGTTGAGATCTATAATTTTCATATAAAATTATCTTCATTTAATTCATAAAAAAAATGATTTGATAAGATTAATATATCTTAGAAAAATCATATCTTTTTTTTTTCATTAAAAGAAGATAATTTTATATGATCGTATAGATCTCAACTGATCTAGTTAAATTTATGGAGGGCAAAAAAAAAAGTTGAGCAAAGTAACCAAAAGTTCACTGAAGTCCGATGAAACTTTTTCAATGGCTCATGTGGAAAAAAGTTGGAAGCGATATTTTTAATGGCTCACAAGGAATTTTCCCTTTTTCTTTCTCTTTCATCATGTGATCATATGAACTCATCCATAGAACCAGCGTGGTTTCTGTGTGTTGTTCAGAGGAAGCTGACGTGGTATTGGTTGTCCACTAGTTCAGTAGGGTTTTCCTGATATCCCCTAGTGTCGTTTGGTTAATGAAGCATACCTCCAAACTTGCCCAAGTTGGTGATTCGTTTCGCTGAAATTTGGCTTATGCTGATACTTATGCAGATTTGTTTTGAGAGGAAAACACTGTTCGTTCGCTGAAAAATACTGCTGAAGTAGTGCTGCAGAACAGGGCGGAAATACGGTTATCCTTTCCCTAAGCTGTCCTCTGGTCCTCCAGAACTTGTTGCTTGCCTAGCTGAGCTCATGCAATAGCCGATCCATGGAGTGTTGTTTCTCGCTATGTTTCTTTACATTTTAGTGAAAGCCGCTCCCTATTTCATACTCCTGTTTGTTTCTTCCCGTTCCTGTTAAATGAGCAGAATCTATGTTATGATTAATTTCCCTATTTTTCCTGGTTAATTGGTCATTTACGTTGCTGCATCAACATTGTTGCTGCTTGGACTCTGAAACTGCTCATAGCCGCGGCGCTGCATTGTGCCACTCAATGCTGGCGCCGTTACATGTCCTCGGCAGAAAACGATGGTCGGTGACTGGTGTTTGTAGTTCTGCGGCCAAAAAAAACAATGCTCTAATTCCAGGTGACTATCCGTTCAGTTCTGCAACGATGGAGAGATCACACAAGATTGGGGATATGCGAACTGTTTGCTCTATAATCTGTGACAGATGAAAGCCCAACTCAGCTTCTTTCAAACACATCACCTCTGATGAGTGTTGTTGAAGGTGTTCTCTAAGTTGCTTTATCCACATGACTGCATCGGCAGTGGCAAGAACGACGGTGACAATCTGATGGAGATTGCAGGAAATGGAGTTTCTGTCACAGACCTGGGAAGCGATATGGCAGTTGAAGAGAAGCTTGAGCCTATCTGGCGTTTTTTGAAATTGCTTTAGAGTTTATATAGTTTTATACCCTGATCAGCAGCACTCTTTCGGCATGAGGAAACCAACTAAAGACCAGAGCAGGAAAGCATGGAGCTTGAGCTCCAACGAGAGCTTGTGCGCTGCAAAATTAATCCAAGTGTTGTAGACGGTAATACAGCTTCCACTTCCAGACGTTCAAATTTAGTAAAGTTGAACAGGGTCAGGAAAATATAGCTAGAAGTATCTGGAGTAGCTTTGCTCTGAATTTGACTCACCATCCGTTGGTCAGTTAGTGTGAGAAGCATAAGAATCAAACAACATGCAGATGCAAGGAGCAGTCTTTTTTTCCTCTTCAACAGTGTATCATTGGTGCCTGTCAATTCAGTCTCCTTGGCACAAACGAACACCAAAAGATAGCAAACAACAACAAAAAACAAAGGCTCCTGAAATAAAACATAAAAAAATACAGCCAAAATGATGTGCCTACGATACACTAACAATGCCAGAGCTTCCACCATCCTTCCCTCTCACACAATATCACCTCAAGTCCTTCCTTTCTTCCAAGCCTTCCCAGTCTTTAAGTAGTGGCATCGCAAGAAGAACTAAAGAAACCTATCTACTCTAAAGAATGAACAAAAACGAAAGCAGAAAACCTAGTCCTTCCTCCAATTCTCTCCACAATGCGGCAACACCATGGTCTTCTCTTATGATGATATATAGGCGCCTAATTCAGAAACGATTGCTTATACCATACCTTACCGGGGAGGAAGCCTTGAGCCTGTTCGGAAGAGGTGGACAGCTCAGATCAAGCGGAGGGAGACAGAACGAAACGGGCCGTCAGTATGGGCCGATCCTGGGCCTTTAGGATACAGTAATTATTTTCCGCTCATCGAGACATGGGCCTTTAGTAACCTGGACCGTTGGAGGCGCCGACGCACGGAGAGAGGGTGGCGGAGTGGATAACTGTAGATAGATGGAGCCCTCGCCGGCGGCGGCCTCTGCCTCAGGGAGAAGCGGAGAGGCTGGGACTGGAGGCGTGATGGAGCCGAAGCAGGCGGAGGCAGCCGACCGGCTCTCCTCCCTCCCGGCGGAGCTGCGGGACGAGATCCTCGTCCGCCTCGACCTCCGGGACGCCGTGCGCACCTCCGTGCTCTCCCGCACCTGGCGCCACCTCTGGAAGTCGCTCTCGGTACTCTCCCTCTCCTTCCCCTTCGGCGCGCACCCCTCGGTCGTCGACAGCGTCCTCCTCCCCTACATCGGCCCCCGGGTCTCCCTCTTCAACATCTGCGTCGACGACGCGTCTGCCGGCCGCATCGACGACTGGCTCGTCGCGCTTTCCCGCTGCAGCGTCGAGTCCATCCACATGTCTGGCCTACTCAGATCAGTCTTATACTTCAACCTCCACTCCTCCATCTTCTCCTTCGGTGATCTCGATTCCCTGTGGCTGCAACGCTGCGACATCCCACCCCTCCCCGTTGGATTCGCCGGCTTCCCCGCGCTCCAGGAGCTAGACCTCAGCTCTGTTCGCTTCCCAGCCAATGGGGGGAACCAATTGGAAGGTATCATTCGTCGGTCACCCTTGCTTCATGTCCTGAGGCTGTTTGACGTGTTCCTCCCTGATGACTGCCCAGAGTCGGTGATTGAGGCGCCCAATCTCCGTAGCCTAAAAATCCTTTCAGACACGGACTGTGGCTGGCGAGTTGGAGAGCCGCCATGCCTCGAAGATGCCGACATTCAGGTGTTCCTCTGTACGCGGCATGAACATGGTTTTGGAGATTTCCTTGCTTGGTTTGCTCACGTTCAAAAGCTCACTCTCTACTTGCCGGTACGTTATTTTGACTTTGTTCTCCTTATGTGCTTTGGCCTAAATCAAGGCTGAAACGGTAGTGCTTGTCTCAAGCCCATTACATAGATCAGGAACGTAAACATCGTCTCCTATACTAATGAAATAGCGTGAAAAGTTGCACTAATAATTAATAATAATGGAAACAATTGTTTCATTCATGCCCTGCTTCCATGTGCCTGTGGTCCTTTGTTTCAAAATAACACAGAAATCTCATACATATTGCTAGACCCTGTATGACCGTATCCAGTTTGAATGTTCTTTTTTTTTGTCACAGGTCAACAATGTTGAGATACCGTATACACTTCCATTGACCTTTTCTAACTTGAAGAACTTGAAATTATCTATGGACTTTACTGAAATGCACCCAATTTTGTTCATGTTTACCTTGCTAAGGAGTTGTCACAACCTTGAAAACCTAGAAATGAAGGTAATGCTGGATATTGCCTTTGGGACATCTCTATTTACACTGTTCGAAGGTCATCTTGTTAATTACAACAGATTTTTTTATTTATTGGTGAAGTTTCTTGAATCTGTTGATCAGAGTTTTGAGGGAAATTGGGAGTTCTTAAATGCTCTGTGGAGTGATGACATGTGTGCCAATCTTCAGACTGTGAGGATGATTTATGTTCATTGGCTTCCAAAACAAATTTCATTTATGAAGCTTATTCTCTCTAAAGCAAGGCTTCTTCACACATTATATGTTGATAAGTGCCCAGATGTTTTTGATGATCCAAAAATTGACTTACTACAATGCAAAAGAGCTTCAGCTCAAGCTCATGTCCTGTTTGAAGGTAAAGAAATTTGGTTATGGGTCTAAAAGTTAATATCGTATATTTATTGTTTGAACAATGGATCTCTGTACCTCATTTTTTCCCGGTCAAAGTTAGTGGTATGTTACTCATGATGTACTTTTGCGAGTTTTTCTATTGTACAAGTGAGAGTGGATTATATTTCATCCAAAAGTTTGACATCCTGAGGAAAGGTGATCAACATAAGACCTATGTTGAATACATTGCTGAAGTTTTCTGTGGCCCATTAAGACTTTAGAGCTTGACCCTATTATTGTTGTTGAAGAGACAGCCATGGTCTCCAAGACTCCATTGCATGATATCTTATCTTTCCAGCAATATTCAAGGCATTTTTCCTTTGCTTCACATATGGATCATCTAGATTATGTTACAAATAGCAACCAAATTACAGTAGTTTTTCAGCTGTAGTTCTAAATCTTAATGGAGTGTTTGGTTTGTAGAATCAATCCATTCTAGATGAGGTGATGCTGATGCATCATGAGCCCATTTTCCTCAAATTTAGTGGAATGACTTCATTTCTCATACTAGTACTAATTATTAGCTTGTGAATAAGGTGGTGATGGATTAACTCACAATTCCACAAACCAAACAAAAAAAATAAAGATTGAGATGATGATGGACTACCCCCATTCCACAAACCAAACACCCCATTATATTGTTTCTTCCAATTTAGTAGCTAAAACCCTAAAACATTGAGAGAATTATGTATTTGGCACTAAAACAAATCGGTCTTTCATATTTGGCACTAGAAAATTTGAACTTCCTTATCTAGCATCGAGTTGAATTTTTTTTCCTAAATAGCACTGCCGTCCATTTAGACCAGTAACGGTGTCAAGTGGCTAGCAAAATGACATAAATGCCCTTGATTGTAGCAAAAGTCCATGGTGCTAAATAGGGGAAAAAAAATAGACAGGTTGTCAAATAAGAAAATCATAAATATACTTTGAACTAAAATGTGGATTTTTGATAATTGAAGACTGCAAATAAATAATTAATAAATTTCAAATTGGTAATAGCAGGTACAGATTATGCCCCTCACTCTTCCTTTCATCTCGGCCACAGATCAAGGATGCATGGCTTCGGATGGCTGCTGGTTGAAATACGTAACTTATATTTTCAAGGTATTTATCTTTTAGTTTTCTAAAAGAAAAGGAGAGTATATGCCGTCATCATAACATCATGGCTCAAGAGCAGAGCACACTGTGCATGGCTCGGCCGGCGTTTGACGCCGAGCGCACGTGGCCGGCGGAGCACGCGGCCCGGGCAACGCGCGGAGCTCGCAGCCTTGGCGGCACGCGGAGCACGCAGCCGGGGAGCTCGCGGCCTGGGCGCGCGGTGGCTGGCCGTGCCCGTGCAGGCGGGCATAAACTAATGCAGGTCCAAGGCTCATCAATTCATTCATGTACGCAGTTAGGCACAGAACCATTGCCATTTGCCACCCCGGGAGGGTGTGAATGAAACTGATTACCATGGCACCCGAGTAGCTAGCAGGGATTGCAGGAGCAACATTGCCCGTGTCACGGCGGGGCAAACGAAGAAGCACGGAGAACACTAGGCGTCTCGTCGCGATCCCCCTTGCGTTTGGCATATTTAACCCGCGGCCGCACGCGAATGCTCCCACCCTCGCTCTCACACCCACCCACGGCGCGCGGCTGATCCCCGCTCAGCGCTGACCCCTCGCCTCGCCTCCGCCAGTCCGGAGCCCGGAGCGAGCGAGCACCTGCTCCCGCATCAAGACAAGCTTCAACTCGCGCATTTGTTTATGCCCGCCCGCACGGGCACGGCCAGCCTTGGCGGTGCGCGGAGCACGCGGTGCGCACGGGCACGGCCAGCCACGGGCGCGCGGTGCGCGGTGCGCCGGGGAGCTCGCGGCCTGGGCGTGCTGCTGCTGCGCGCAGGAGAGGCCGCGTTTTGTGCAGGAGACGAGCCACCGCTGCTGCTGCGAGCTGGGGCCAGAGGCCGCCGCGCCTCCACGAGCTCCTGGGCAGGAGACGAGCCGCCGGCCACGAGCGAGTATAGAGGGGTATTTTGGTACTTCTGAAAGAAACATGGCAGGGTCAACGCAGTCAACTGACGGATGGATGCACTAAATGGACGGTAGTGCCATTTACAGAAGAAAATTTTAACTCAGATGCCAAATAAGAAAGTTCAAAATTTTTAGTGCTAAATAAAGAAGATTGATTTGTTCCTGTGTCAAATACATAATTGGCCCTAAAACATTTCAATGAAGGAACCCAATGGCAGTCTGATGTTTGCCTAGTCAGCACTATGAATATGTTTCCACAAACCTTTGAAGTGTTTCTTTTTTATGGAACCTTTTAAGAGTTTCTTCTTGATAAGGCCTTTCTAAGAGTTTGTGGTAGAATATTATTGGTCTACATAAATGCTACGGTTTCTGTATATTTTGTTTGATCTGCTTTATGTCTGCTTTGATGTAATTTCACAAACTGTTTTCCTTGTGCAGGTTTGGTGCAGCAGTATTGATGAGGTGGCATCTTCTATGTATTGCTGAGTGCAAGATTGGTTCACTTGAATGAGACAGGACCCGCTTTCTCTGCTGAAGTGTTTTTGTTTTTCTCCTTCATGATATGATATATGAAGCATGTAGAAAATGGCTTATCCAAGGAACCGGCATGATTTGTTTGTCTTGTTCAGAAGAAGCTGATGTGCCATTGGTTGTTCACTAGTTCAGTAGGATATTGGTGGTAGTAGCTAGAGGCGTTTGGTTAATGAAGCATACCTCCAAACTTGCCTGAGTAGGTGAAAATACGGTTATCCTTTCGCTAAGTTGTCCTCTGGACCTCCAGAACTTGTTGCTTGCCAAATGCCAAATCCATGGTGTGTTGTTTCTCGCTAAATTTCTTCACTGCTTAGTGAAAGCTGCTCCCCTTTATTTCATACTCTTCTTTGTTTGGTCCGGTTCCAGTTAATGAGGTGCATCTATTTCCAACATTAGTTTCCCTACTTTTGCCTGGCTAATTGGTCTTTAACGTTGCTGCATCAACATTGTTGCTGCTAGTGTGGCTTCGACTCTGAAACAGTGCAACGCCCGCGGGTGCTGCATTGTGCAGTTCAATGCATGCGCCGTTCCATGCCCTGGGCATAACGATGGTTGGTGACGGGTGTTTGTAGTTCTGCGCCAAAAAAATGCTAGCATTTCCAGGTGACGATCCGTTCAGTTCTGTAGTGATGGAGAGATAACAAAGATTGGGGATGTGCGAACTGCTCAGTATAATCTGTGATAGTTGGAAACGAGAAATAACCCAACTTGGGTTCTTTCAAAAACATCACCTCTGTTGATTGTTGTTGAATGCGTTCTGCAAGTGGCAAGAGAAACGGCGGCAATCTGATTGTGATTACATGAATTGTTTCGGTTATATGGCTTACTTTCGCATAACAGTTCGGGATGGAATGCCATTCCTAATGCTGTAAACGGTTTAAACCGCCTTTTGATTAATACTAAAAGACTGGGCCTCCTCCCTAAAACTCTAAAAAAAGGATTACAGGAAATGGAGTTCGTGTCACAGACCTGGGAAGCGACATGGCAGTAGAAGAGAAGTTTGAGTCTTTTGGCATTTTTGACATTGCTTTAGAGTTTAGACCCTGATCAGCAGCACTCTGTCGGCATAATAAGAAAGCCAACTAAATACCAGACCAGAGCAGGAAAGCATGGAGCTTGAGCTGCAACGAGAGCTTTGGTGTGAGCTGCAAGATCAATCCAAGTGTTGCAGTCGGTAATACAGCTTCCACTTCCAGATGTTTATATTTTAGTAAAGTTGAACAGAGCCAGGGAAATTTTGCTACCAGTTTCTGGATTAGAGGACATGGAAACTACCTCCAAAAGCTAAGCGGCCTGGTAGCTTTGCTCCGAATTTGGATCACCATCCGCTGGTCCATTGGTATGAGAGAAGCATAAGAACCAAACAACATGCAGATGCAAGGAGCAGTATTTTTTTCTCTTGAACAAAATCATTGATGCTTGTCAATTCAGTCTCCTCGACACAAACGAACACCATAAGGTGGCAAGCAACAACAAAAACAATGGCTCCTGAAACAAAACAAAAATTATGTGCCTACAGTACCCTAACAATGCCAGAGCTTTCACAATCCCTTCCTCACACACACTATCACCTCAAGTTCTTACTTTCTTCCAAGCCTTCCAGGTCTTTACGTAGTGGCATTGCCAGAAGAACTGAAGAAGCCTATCTACCTACCCTAAAGAATGACAAAAAAAGAAAACCAGAAAACCTAGTCCTTCCTCTAGTTCTCCGCACAATGCGGCAACACCATGGTCTTGTGTTGTGAACTTGTGATATCTAGTGCAGAAGTGATTGCTTAGATCTATCTAAAGATACTTATAGGAGATCAGACATCACATCAGAGACTCATGGGATTCTCAAGCACAATCTTTATTTAGAGCTCGTGCGCCATTTAAAGTTCCTAATACACGATTTCTAATTGGACTCTTCCAACTAATTAGCTGATTGAACTTTTTTCCTCCCATGAATATCTTTTCTTTTGTTGCACGTCAGCTTTTTAATCTCTCTTTCCCTACATCACCACTGGAAACTGAAATAAAATAGCAAATACTGACATAAAAAGTAGAAAACTAATTTCCCTATCGGTATACCAACAGAACAAAAGCGACAGAAATAGAAATTTTTTCTGCCGATTAACTAATTTTCTTGTCAGTACACCGTTGACTGGAGAATTAACGACCATTAGGTCTAGAATTGTATCCTTGTCGGACAAAGACGACAGAAAAAATCATTTTACTATCAAGAAATGAATTTCCCTATTGGTTTTAAACCGTCAAAAATGGTTATCGTTAGCAGGAAAATTGCATTCACACTGACAGGAAAATTGCACTCACACCGACAGGAAATTGTGAATGGCGAGATCTCATTTATTTATAAATCCATACAATGCCCTCCTATATATCATACATAATTCATCTCATTTATTTAGAATTCATAGAGCTTGCCACATCTCAGTCTCACACATGATTCCAATCACAGGACTCATTCTTTTTTAATAACTCATGAATGAATTTATGTATCAAGGTCCAATGGGCGAATATAATATTCAGCACTAAGCTATCTATGCACAGCAATGATAAACATTTTTTTAAATAAAAGCATGATTATAGAACGACACTTGCTGTATCAACAATATCTTTAATTAGCTTTAGCTTTCAAAGCATATCAATTGCCTCCTTGTCGCTGCTCGGTACCTGCTCCTTGGCCTGAGTGATTACCTCCCTGCTCCTTACCTGAATGATTAGCTCATCTCTTTGGCCTCCATGTTCAGAAAAGTGATTACAATGCAGGCAAAATGATTAACTGTTGTGGTGAGTCTGACTTTCAGAAATATTATCAAAGGAAATAGCTGTATTGATCCTTTCTACATGGCTACATGAATGACTGGAACCATCCCTGCCCATCCTACCCTCTTTCTCTAGATCGTCTGTGTGGCATTTATTCTCCTCTGATCCACAGGTTTGTGTTTCATGTATATGTATGGATTTTTTTTTTTATGAACCTAAGCCATATATTTCATAAGCTACCATGTGAGATGCAATTAGAACTGACCTAGATAATGCTAGGTGTTGTTGCTGGCTTAGATCCATTAATTTTGTTGATGTACGATAGAATAGCAAATGAGAAAAAAATGGATTCGCTATGAAATCGAGATGTCGTCTCATCTCTGGGTGGTTTATTTTTCTAAATGACACAAACATGCACTGCATATGCAGGTTGTAGAAATGGGAATTTTTCTAAGATAATGCTCTTGAAACTGAACCTGGCAGACTACCGTTGCAAGTTGAATTTTTCTATGAGGTAATTTAAAATAGTAGCTATGCATGCTGTCAAATGATTCTCAATCAGTTCAAAGGCAAAATTGATTATATTATATGGGCATGGTGTTTCCAGCTTGTTCTGACTCCTGGGTAGGTTAGACGTTAGAGATGCACTGCCTAGTAGTAATAGGGCCAAATGGTTCCGTCACATACCTCAGTTACATAATTTTTCCTTCTTCCATAGTCTTACACGATTTTTCTTATTAAATTCCTGATATTTCCTTGTGATTACTATGAGTTTTAGTTATCTTTTTTGAACTTGTGCAGACAAAGGTAAATCTTCTAAATTTCGTACTGTGATTCTATGATATACAACTATGAGTATGAGGTGACTGAAGAACAGATCTAGCAAGGTAAGGGTATCCCTTCTTCAAGTATATATGGTTGTCTATATTTTCGCATTGTTTGATTCAGGCCGTCATTAGTATATACTTGCGGACTAATCTCTAGTTTAATATTGTTTCTAGGTTTTGCTTTAAATTCCACGTACAAAAATTCTTTGGCTATCTAAAAATTTTCCGACTTGTTTCTGATAACAAGTCAGCCCCATGTACAGGAGATGGATATCAGGCATGACCCAAGACATGTGGACATTATTCTTCTATATATTTTAATATACATATATGTATGTTACATGAGGTCTGATGCACCCTCCATGCTTATGCTATACAAAACTAAATAGAAGTATTGTACCATGCTAAAAATATATTTGATACTCTAATGTATAGTGTAGATATCCAAAGGAAGACTCTTGGCTTTATCTGCACTGCTAGTTCTAATTTGAGAGAACTTCCAGTGAAAAAATTAGAGCCCATCCACCAGTTTCAATTTTTTTTTGCGTGGCTTTAGTGGTTCTAATTTAGCTCAGCTTCTTTTATTTCAGGGTTTCTGTGTCACTGTAGACAAAGCGTTTTTAGTGAACTTTAATTCTAGAAGAGCTTCCAGGAACAGGTATATATACATTGGCTCAGTTATTTTCCTTCACCAAGATTTATAAATTCATGGGAAAATCTCATATAGGAATTAATTAACTATGGAAACAATCATAGCAAATTGAATGAATTGACTACGGAAATAATTATAGCAAATAGGAGGTGCGGCAAGTCCAATGACAAAGGTAATGCAGATTGCATTTTGCAAAAAGAAGGGAATATGCATAAGCCAAAGGCATGATACACATGGAAGGACATAAACTTCATTGAATGATCAGTTTATAGTATTCCCATAAGCCATATAACAATAGGTGGAAGTTAGTGAGGATGCTTAGACATTAGATATGCCCAACATTTGTTAATTGATTAATCTACTCAAAGGCAGTTCATGTACCTTAAATTGCGGAGATAGATAATTCTTTATGAAACAAAACTTCACTGGCCTCTACGTCTACTTCAGAACACTCAAAATGATTATTTTGACGACATGCTCATACCTGCGACAGTTGGGTTTGTATTGTTCAATACGGGAATGGCATGACCACAGAACGAAATACAACTTGAATCATGTTCTAGAAACCACACTAAGGTCCTCTAAACAGCTAGCTAAACAGCATTGAACAATCTGCAGTTCTAGAAAAGATGCATAACTGCACAATCTGCAGTTCTAGATTAGCTACCCAAACAATACT